CCCTCACTACCCCGGCTCACGAGGAGGGGGTGTAGCCCCGCGGGGCGCCTAAGGTCGGGCCAAAACTGCAATATTGCAGTTTGGCCCAGGGGGTTCCAGGCTGCGGCTGCGCACCCCTCTGTATTTTTTTTTTTTTTTTTTTTTTTTTTTTTTTTTTTTTTTTTTTTGCCAAGGCCAGGGGTACCGACCCCCGGCCCCCGGGACCCCCGCCAGGGCCGCGGGGTCGGGGCTCGACAACCCTGTTTAGGATCATGTTCATTCAAAGAGTTTTTTTTTATCCATGCCGTCAATTTCGTTATCGGGGGCCCATGCGAAACAACATCATGCTCATTCTCAGTTTTGAATTGCACTTTTTGCATGTTTTCGATATGCACGGGCAATCTTTTGACCACGGGTCATTGTTCCTCTAGGTCGAACTCGAATAGACACCAGCATTCCTCGCACGCACCTACAACACACATATCTTGATACGATTTGACTTCATCGATGGACGCATTACTATCTTGCTCACAAACCATAGCACGGTCACACCCTTTGTACACATATTTATACATATACTTGCACGTCTTGATGTTAACACAATATTCAACATTCAAGTGGCATTCAAGCCTCATTAGCAAGTAACGGTTGTACTGAACCAAACAACAATTATCATAAACAACACCATTTTGAACAATCGTAAAATCACCGTCATTTGGTTTCCTTCTCCTATACGAAGGGTACGTTTGTTCGTCTTTGAATGTTGTTGTCGAAATGATGTCTTTTGGAAACCCTTTTGTGCATTCTCCCTCCTCCGTACACCAAACGTCGCGTTTCTCCGCGTCACAAATCACGTGCAACATGAATTTGGCAACCCTTCATACACATTGTCAACAGCATCCGCATCCCGAAGTGTATCATCTGAATGCAAGATAATCAATATATGTGTGTGTGTTAGACCCCTAATTTGAAACTCCACCACATACAACATTATATTCACCCTACCAAAGATCCTGTGTTCTTTATCTCATCGATGAGTTGTGAAAGATAACCTTTGAACACTCTCGCGAGAAGATCCGGTCTGTCGTTAGGACATTGACCTGACAACAGGGCTTGTTTGATCTCCGATCAGTTAGTGTTGTACGTCATAGTGGTAAAAAAATCCGATTTTCCGAATCGCATCAGAATTGTCATGTTGTCGTGATATCTTTCACTCATATATCGACTCCCCCTAGTGAACGTGGACGATAAAACCATTTTTGTTCCAACACCGTCACCACGTTGATTTTGTTCTACGGCATCTCGTAAATCCTGATTATACTCCGACCGCAATTCCTTTGTGTGGAATCTCACCCATTTCAAGCGGAGGGATTCAACTTTAGCGTATGCCATGCAACAAAACCCGTGGAAAAGATGTGTTGCATAAAGGAGGCAAGGTCTTTCACCATTTCGTTCGTGAAGGTGAAATGCATAGTATTCCTTGACACTCTGTCCTGACGGTCACCCAACTTCCGAGGCACGTCGGATAGACCAAATATCAATTCCTTCCGGGAAAAGAAAAACAAACCTCAAGCAGTCGTGCGCTCGAGAACATTTTGGAACCACAACCGTTTACCACTCACCCTAAAGAGGAGCACGCAAAAAAATCACGAGCTCGCTAGGAAGAAGTTCATCAGTCATCAGAATACAGACCTCATGTAGACTCATAGGACAGTTATAATGCCTGACGTGTTCTTCAGCAGACATGGCATCCGGATTTATAACCAACTTCCTCTCGTTCAACGCTTCTGCCGGAAGGTCAACAACATTCATAAAATCCCTCACATAATTGTTACATTGTCGTAGCAATTCGTGGAACCTTCTCAATATGTACTTCATTCGATTAACTTCGACCTCAGATGTATGTGCAGGTAAGTTAATCAAGTCTACTCTTTGATCAATCGCATCGTCCAAACGTTGAGGATCGTGCAAGTAAAGTTGCGCAAACTAAAGACATTCCCCCCCCACAGCCAATGCATCGACACGATGAAAAATTGGACCTTGAGCCCGAAGTTAGCCATGGAATCCTTGAACATTATTGCTCGGTTGCTTCAACAGCGAGGATGTGAAGGATAAACTATTATTAATTATCCTCGCATTGTTTCGAAAGAATCGGCCGTCGGAAGTTTAAGACGTCCAAAGGGAAAGAATCGCATGCTCCAGGAAGCCTTCGCAAGACCATTCCCATAAAGGACAACGTTTTGCACCTTTCGGCAACACATCTTTGTCCATTTTTTTTCATGATGACACAATTTGACACTACAATGCGTACATGG